AGTGTTTGGAATGAACTTTCAGAGGAAGTGGTGATGCAGGTATAGTTACAATGTTTAAAAGACATTTGGATAAGTACATGAATAGGAAAGGTTTAGACGGATATGGGCCAAATGCAGGCAGAGGAGACTAGTTTAGGAATATGGTTGGTATGGACTAGTTAGACTGAAGAGTCTGTTTCCATGCTGTATAACTCTATGATTCTACAAGAATACAAAATGTGTTTTGGACAGTTCATGATGAAATTATTTTGGAATGAGGTCCTTGAAAGGGAAAAAAAGTGGAATCCCTAGTGCAGGTTGACATAGTTTTAACAGTTTCTCTGAATTGCTGAGAAATCCCCAGAATCAGTGTTGACCATATCTGCTATGTGGAGACGGAAAGGACTGCAGATGCTGGAAGCTAGAGTCAAAAAATGTGGAGCTGGAAAAGAATAGCAGGTCAGACAGCATCCAGAGCAGGACAGTCAACGTCTCGGATCAGAACCCTTCTTCAGTCCTGATCCGAAAGTCCTGAAGAAGGGTTCTAGCCCAAATCGCTGACTTTCTGGCTCCTCGGATGCTGTCTGACCTGCTGTGCTTTTTCAGCTCCACATTTTTTGACATCTGCTATTTGATTGTGCTCAACAGCCCACTGAGCTGTGTGCCTGTTAACTCCTGCACTCTAAAGGATCAACATTCACATAAGGCCAATAGATTGTAGATGTTTTACTTTTCAAACTTTGTGTTGTAAAGTTGATTTAGTTTTTTTCAAAGTTCTGTGGCTTTCTTTCCTTAGTAAGTTGCTAGGAGCTCATACTTTCTTTGCTTTAAATAAACAGAATGTTACTAGGCCCTAACTGGATTGAAACATAATGTCATCTGGGATGGGAATTGTACTTTTGTACAAGTGTAATAGAAATAGCGAGTACACAAAGTTATGAGAGAACGATGAAGCATAAGAGGCACTGTTACTCTCTTGCCTGTTTCACTCCCGCTCAGCCAGTAAAGAGCACAGGCTGAACTGCCCCTTTGAAGCATACACCAACTTGCCCAGATAGTTCATACCAAATGGACAAAAATGGGAACTAATGGAAATCCAAAAGTCACATGACACCAGGTTATAGTCCAACAGGTTTATTTGGAATCACAAGCTTTTGGAGCACCGCTCCTTCATCAGGTGATATCCACTTCATCATGTGACTTCTGACTTTGTCTATCCCAGTGCAACACCGGCACCTCCATATAATGGAAATCCAAATTAGGACACACAGACAACACTCATGTCATCATCCTAGAGGACAATGTTAGATCCTACAGATCATTATTTAAAATGCTTAAAATAAATGAACAAATCAAGACTGGTCCTGACCAATGGCTGCATATATAAAACTGAAAGTTTTCTACTGAGCAGAGATCCAGGACAATTATTTCACGAAGACGTCATGGTAAGGAATCTATAGGAGGCACTGAATAATACTCTTAACCATATAATCCTTCTGCATTATTCAGCTCCTCTTAATGATTATACAACTATGTTTCTACATCACAGCAGAAAAAAAGCCTCAATATTTTACATTTTACCATTAAATAGATTAAATTGTACTTAGGGGAACTAAAACATGTATTACAGCATAATTAATTTCCAAAATTGACAGTGGTGTGAAACAGCAATGGAAAGAAACAATATTTTAGGGCTGTTGTGTCACAGTGACACAGTAACAGGAGAGAAAAACCTTACTTATGTATTGAGTTATAATAACTAACAGTTAACTCATTAAAATTCATTTACTAGAAAACACACTGCAAATATCAAAAATGAAATTTGTCCTAAGCAAGCAACTAATTTAGAGATCTGCATACATGAGATGCTTATAGGTGATGCAGACTTGAATGGGTAGGGTTAGCCATTCACCAAATGATCCAGCCATACAGAACTCTACTGAGGGTCACTTCTCAGGATTATCCTGGAACTTAAAGATAACACCAGATTTCTGTCTCACTTAATCAGACCTGCTAACCCCTCTCCCGTGACTACTCCACCTACATCTTCAGCAAAAAGTGCAAGGAGCTCACACTCTCCCTTCTGGTCCACCAGGACAAACATCTAAGACTTCAGCTTACACAACTGTTAGCTTCCTTCCTATTTTCCTTTTTACAATTTTCGAGTTTCCCTTGCTGTTGAGGAACACACCCTAGTCACTCAACCATATTCAAACTAAACTACTGACCACCCAACTTCCCTTCTAGCTCCCATGTTAGCTGATATCACTCATTCTCTCATTTTAGCCACTGTCTGCTCCTCTCTTTCAAATCTGCTGTCATCACCATGCCCCTTAAAAATATAAAAGGCAACCCTTGGCCCACAGTTTGCAAGGACAATCTCTAAACTGGCTTTCCTCTTCAAAGTTCCTGAATGTGTACCGTCTCCCGAATCTGTTCCTAACTTTCCCAAAGACATTATATTTGAATCAAATTTCCACCTTTTTCAGCAGTGGCTCTCAAAGTCACCAATGACGTCCCATGTAACTGTGACAAAAGTAAACCTTCCCTTGTCTCCTTCTCAACCTTTCTGCAGTCTCTGACATGGTTAAATACACCACCATCCTCCAACACCTTGGCTCAAACTCTCTTCCATTTTTTTACTACTCGATCATTTCAATGCACATCTCGCTGTTGTCCTGCATGATCCCACATTCCTGTAAACTGAAGGTTATTCAAAGCTTGCCTGCTTGTGTCGCAATGCACACCAAGAACTTTTCTGCACAACCTGCTTGCTAGCCTACACTAGCCCCTATCTTAGCAATGCCTCAATTTAAAAAAATATATTTTCAATTCCCTCCATGGCCAGACCCCTCACGTCTGCAATTACCTCAAAAGCACAACCATTTTAGATATTTGCACTCCTCTAATTTGAGGTTTGAGTATCCCCACTATTTCTGGCTGTACCTTCAATTGCCTAGTTACAAACTTTGAAATACCTTCCCTATACCTCTCTGCCATATTCTTCTCATTTAAGATGCTACTTAAAACCAACTGCTTTAACTGCCTTTTCTGAAGAAGGGTCTAGGCCCAAAACGTCAGCCTTCCTGCTCCTCTGATGCTGCTTGGCCTGCTGTGTTCATCCAGCTCTACACCTTATTATTTCTGCTTTAACTCAATGTTTGGTTTACTGCCCTTATATCTCCACATGCAGTTTGGTGTCACAGTCTGCTTCATATTGCTCCTGTGAAGTTCTTTGGGATGTTTCCCTACATTGAAAGTGCCATAAAAATACAAAGTTTGTTGTTAAATCCATAAACACACAATTCATGCAGTAAAGTTCGCTTGCGCAGATATTCAATAGCTGATATCTGGTCAGTCACATAATATCCCTGTATTCGATATGCTAAGTATATCCATTGTGTGACACAATAATCAGAGCTGTTTCAACCTTTTGAATTACTCTTCACTTGCAGCAACAGATTTGTAAGTAATTGATCTGTCAGAATACATTACCAACTGATGCCATACAGCAACCTCGTGGCAATTAAGCAACTGAAAACTAATCTAATCTACTGTCCCGAATCCAGAAATCTCATTCCAAGGCTTTATGTTCATGCTGATGCTGTGGAAGTGCTCCTTCGCAGTGCCGGGGACCTGGGTTTGATTCCAGCCTCAGGTGACTGTGTGTGGGGAGTTTGCACATTCTCCCTGTGCCTACATGGGTTTCCTCCGGGTGCTCTGGTTTCCTCCCACAGTCCAAAGATGTGTAGGGTATTTGGATTGGCCATGCTAATTTGCCCATAGGGATGTGCAGGCTAGGTAGATTAGCCATGGGAAATGCAGGATTGTAGGGTAAGGGGGTAGGTCTGGAAAGGTACGTTCTTAGGAGTGTCGGTATTGCTTCAAAGGGCCCAATGGCCTGGTTCCAACACTCTAGGAAACAATATGATCCGAAGTGAGATTAAATGAATTGTTGGCTAGCAGCTATTTTAGTATAGGTGCATTTTAATCTACCTGTTCGGAAACCTGTCTTCCAAGAAAGGTGGGACTTGAACCCAGGCCTTTTGGCTAAGAAGCAAGGACACGACAATTATACTACAAAACCGTTACTGTCGTACCAAATAATTGTTAGTGCTCGATGTTGACATTGGCTGACAAATGTAAACTGACATCCTTTGCATTGATATGGACATAATCAACTCACGTTTTAGAAATAATTTTGTATCAGATATTTTGTCATACACCTATATTAACATAATATCCAAGGGGCATACTCAGTTCATTGAGTGTATCATGACTCATTTGACAAGGTAATTAAGAGAATAAAAACTGAACCCTGTGAGACTATAAAGTCTGCAATCTACACGGAATGAGAGAGTGGCATTAGAATATTGCTAACCACAAAACAGCTGTCAATTTAAATGTAGACATAAAACAAATTTCCCACATTTGTACAAATTCAACCTTACAAACTCAAACAACAGTCATGGACAAGAATCATAGAATCTCTACAATGTGGAAACAGGCCCTTCGGCCCAACAAGTCCACAGCGACCCTCAGAACATCCCACCCAGACCCATCTCTCTATAACCCACCTTTTCTACACATCCCTGAAGACTATTGGCAATTTAGCATGGCGAATCCACCTAACCTGGACATCTTGGACTGTGGGAGGAAACGGAGCATCCGGAGGAAACTCACACAGACACAGGGAGAATGTGCAAACTCCACACAGACAGTCGCCCGAGGGTGGAATCGAACCCAGGTCCTTGGTGCTGTGAGGCAGCAGTGCTAACCACTGAGCCTTAAAGTGTCCAATTAGTGAGAAGATCGAAAGTTCAGTGTCCTCGTTCATTAAAGAATTATGGAAAATTGGAACAAACCTTGGGCAAGAGACTTATGGTGAATATTTCCTGAAGATTAAAAGGGAAAAACTGAAGAGAACAAAGACCCAATTTTCCAGTTGATAATCAGTAAAGACATTAAGTGCATGCATACCTGAATTTATCTCTATATAATTGGATCACTAGGGATCTTACCTGTACAATTTCTAGCATTTCATCTCGACTGATGTACCCATTTCCATCCAGGTCATACATGCTGAACGCCCACTTCAACTTCTGCTCCAGCTTGCCACGGGATGTGACACTTAGCGCAATAATAAATTCTCGAAAATCAATCGTTCCATCAGCATTGGTGTCAAAGGTGCGGAATACATGCTCTGCAAATTTGGAGGCATCGCCATAAGGGAAGAAATTTGCATATATTTTCTTAAATTCATCAACAGTCAGATTGCCACTTGGACAATCTTTCAGGAAGCCTTTGTACCATTCCTGGAGCTCATGGTCGGTGAATTCTGTGTTCTCGCGAAGATCCTGAAGGACTTCGGGGCGCAGTTTACTATTCTGCTTACCCATTCTAGCTCAGTTGATCACACCTAGTTAGAAAGGGGAAAAGGGAACAGATTTAGTCAACTCAATGCTACAGAGGAGCATTGGTCTGCAGCTGTTAAGTGGACATTTCCATTCTAGCACTTTGCTATAACTGATAGATGAGCTGCTACTTATTCAGACGGCAGTTGAGCTGGAATTGCCCATGGCTGAATCACTAATACAGTAAAATCCGCAATCGAATAGTTTAAATACGCAACTTAATGTAAAAAGCATGGAACCAAAGTAGCTGGAGTCTTGTTTTAGCTACAAGCATCATTTGGGATGTTTTGGCCTAGTTTTGCACAATGTAGTAAACATGCAAAGGAATATTTTAAATTGCTCTTCCAGATGCTGTTCTTCAACCAACCAACTGAATGCACTGTAGTTAGGGTCCAAAATGTTCAAAGTATTAGTCAGGTCTAATGGCGATTACTCTTACTTCTGCACCAATGGCACAGAAATGTCAGGTAAGAGGTAGTTACAAAGTTAATTAAGGATATAACTGCACAAAAATGGCTTCTCACTGGATGGCTCGCTTTTGGCATACTTTGAACAGCATTAAATTGATAAATATATACTGAATGCAATACAGAAAATAGAAGATATGTAATTTAAAATCAAATGTACTTTGGATGAGGCAAAGTAATAATTAACACCACTTGGACTCTGGCAGTGAAAATCAACTATTACAAGTCTCATTCCTTCAGAAATTAATTGTGTTGGAGAGTGCAATTGTCATATTTTAAATTCCTACACTCAATAACTCTTTTGTCATTTATCACCATTTTTAACAAACAGATTTTCATCCCCGAACCCCAGATTCATTTTCTCTCCCTGTCTCAGATTTGACTTGTAATTGTCAATTAGAGTCAGTGAACACATTCTTGGCTATTCATTTCTCAGTCCTTCGAGCCAATTGCTGAGTGAAGGAGATACACATGGCATTCTAATGATAATCACTCAGGTCCCAAATGCTCGATCTCCCTCAGTGCAATGCCCTCAGTTTGGACTTTCAACAATGCTGACAGGCAAATCTAAACAGCAGATTCTGTTTCATGGCTTGCAACAACAAACGATGGCCCATTATCAAGATATCTATCACCAAACTAACCATCCATACACCTCTAATGTTCAGCATTGGGCCAGGAGATCAGAGAGAGAATGGACCTCAGGAACTTAACTGTCAGCACTTCATTTTCCATAAGTAATGTTATTCTTGAAAGAAAGAAAAAAATCTACTAAAAAAAACTGATTGGTTACAACAAATAAATCAAAAACAGCTAACCTCATCAGAGCCAAATGTTCTTTCTCTCAACAGATATGGATGAGCAAAGTCTGTCCAAAATATACTGAGCCTATTCAAACCTCAGAGCATCCAAGTTTGGTGATCAGGCCATCTGGACACTGTGTTTGCCTTTGTGTCTGGAAATGGAAAACGCTTGGGACATAGCACCCACAAAGCTTTCCACTCTAAAGTATCGAGATTGAAGCTGTGAAAAAAGGCTCAAATTACTTTCTTTGCCTGACCACCTGACACTCTCAAACCCAATGTTAGCTGTCCAGATTCAGTTGTTAATTTAAAATTAGGGATAGATAAAGTTTGTTAAGCAAAGGTATTCAGAGATACAGGCCAAAGTCAGTTATACAGATCAGGCATCATCTCATTAAATAGTGGAACAGGCTCAAAGGGCTGAATGGCCTCCTCCTGTTCCGATGTTTCTTAGACTGATCACCCATTTTGCCAGATCACAGAATGGGTGCCCCAATTTTGACAGACAGGAAACTGAATCAAGAGAGTGGAAATTCACCCTCTTGATTCATTCATGGCTGTTCTTACCCTGTCCCTATTCTTGGCATCAGAATCAATTGATTTTTCCCTGGAATCTCAATGCAGCATAATGGGTATATCAGCAAGGCATAAAAGATCTCTACCTCCTCACTTTCATAATGTGTAAAGATTAAGCATTATCTAGGCCCTATCCTGGGCACTAATACGAGTTTGATTTTGCCAACAGACTAAGCACTTTTGATTACCTACCAATTTGCATTATTTGCAGGAGAAAAGTTGGCTAGTTTTCTTCATGTGATCGAAACATTTTACTGTGATGTTGAAATGCTGAAACCTTCACTTTCATTCATTTGTTAAAACTGCAGATCCTTTGTACTTATTACTCCAGTGGAATGAATGTCAGGGTTTAATCTGTGTTTCTGTGAGATTTGTGAATTTCTTACTATTGATTCCTTCTTCCCATATTTTAGATGTAGCTCATAGGTCAATTATCTCAACAGCATGTATACTGATCTCCCTTCATTTATTCACTCACCTATCCAGAAAAATCCTGGTCCAGACAAAACCAATAGATTTGCTCTTTTTTTCTTATAATCGATAAAGACATGGATTATCAAGTTGCCATTGGAGAAAACAGCTGGATAAATTAGTTCAGGTCCCTGTACGGTGGTGATTAGAAGGCAACAGTAAACATGATTAGTTTACATGCTGTTGAACACAATGCCCTGCTCACTGCTTATTTATCTCACAATTGTGAAGGAGAATGTTCAGGGAGATCAGCCTGGGATTTATGCCTTCATACCCGAAAAGATGGAATATCTAGTTTGAAGAATCATGTTTGGCAGACTGGTGCAATTTAAATACTTCTTCAGTGGATAAAGATCTTGGTGAAACTGAAATTTACGTCCTTGCCTTGATTTTCCTTACCATTCTTTGGTAGCGGCACAATAAATACCAGATATATAATCTTGGGGCGATCTATCCAGTTTTTCTTGGAGAGTTAAAAATTTGCAAAGAATTTCATAAATGCTTTATACTTGCTCAAAAATCTCAGCGTTACCACATATAATCCAAGATTTTAAAATTATTTGGAACAAATGCTCAATTGAGTTAGACTTTTTACTGACATTATAATCTCAAAATCTGACTTTGCATTAAATATGTGAAGTCCCATTGCAACATACTTGGATCTGAGAATGTAATTTTATTTTTTCAAAAACTGTCATAGTTTCTGCATGCTATTTAGTGCTTAATGGCACTGTACCAATAAGTCGTTATTTCAAATTCATCAATGCAAATTGTTTAGAAGTATCATTACTATACTTAAAATAAGTAATTTTTCCAACAGTGAAAGAGTCATGTTTAATTTTTTTTTGAACTAGTAGCTCATTTCAGAATAAGGCCTATTTCCTGTATGATTAACAAAGCATCCTGAAAAAGGATTATTTAGTAAGTATTTGCATTTGGGGACGGAGAAGAACTGTGCACCGTTTTGGTTTGTTTTACAGACAAATGGCACAAAGTTTCATACAATTAGTGTCACTAGCGTGTACAAAGGCAAAGTACCTTTCTTCAGGCTGATAGGAATTTGCTCCATTGTACACACTGTTTAATGTTTACTTTATAGTTTTATTGAAATTAAAGTGCACAAAAAGTCATGGAAATTTCCTTTCCTATGGCATACCTTAAGCATTGGTTGAAAATCACAAGTTGAAAAACTTATGTTTGCACATCATTCACAGTCACAGGACATACAGTGCTTCACAGCCAGAGAAGCACTTTGGAAGTATGGTCATTACTTTAATGTACAGCACACAGCAGCCATTTTGTAGACAGAAAACTCCAACAAACAGCAATGCTCAATGATCAGATGAGGGGAGGCAATGACCTCGTCATATTGTTGCTACACTAGTAATCCCAAGACCCAGGTAATGTTCTGAGGACAGATGTTCAAATCCCACCATGACAGATGGTGGCATTCGAATTCAATAAACATCAAGATTCAATTCAAATGACCATGAAACCGTTAGCGGTTGCCATCAATATCCAACTTATTCACTAATGCCCTTTGAGGAAGGAAACTGTCATCACATGATCTGGCCTACATGTGACTCCAGATCCACAGCAATGCGGTTAGCTCTTAACCGCCCTCTGAGCAATTAGAGATGGGCTAAAAATGCTGGCCCAGGCAGTGACACCAACATCCTATGAGTGAATAAAATAAATAACATAATATGTTTATGAAATGTGGATTGAGGGATAGTGTATATAATCATGGGAGAGCTATCTGGTTTTTCTTTGATGTAACAAGATAGAATTTTTACATTTACATGATTCACAGCAGACAGGATCTCAGTCGAACATCTCATCTAAATGATAACACTCCCTTCACTACTGCTCTAAAGTGTCAAGTTCGATTTTAGTGCTGTAGCCCTAGAGTGGGATTTGAAACCACAATCTTTGACTCTGATGATTCAAAGTTTTACGAGCGGAACCACAGCTGACACCCGATGTGAACAACTGGGTGGAGAGTCAGTAGTGCTATCCTGTCCCTTTGATCAAATGCTTCAAATCAAGACAGTAGTTTCTTGATTTGTTTTTAAACTAAATAATACCACACAAATCTGACATCTTTAAACAGCACAGTTGCTAACAGCGACTCAAATAATGTTCAGTAGGAGCAAACAGAACACATAATATGGTGGCTTAATACAAAGGCTATTTTAAACCATAAACTAAAGGCCAGTTTAAAATATGATATAAAATTCAACAGATGTCCTGGGAAATATCTTTGTTATCCTACTATCTCAAGTCAAGCACCCAGGTAGGTCTGAGTGGGTATCCTTTTCAAAGGGTTGGTGCAGACTCAATGGGCTGAACGGCCTCTCTATGCACTGCCGGCATTCTATGACTCCATAGGTTTTAAATTCACCAGCATCTCATGACAGTTAAAACTAGCAACACATGGCCAAACAAAACTCCAAAAAAAATTTAAATGAATCTCACGAAATTAAAATCTTCAAAGAAGTGCAGTATATTCAAGACTTAAATATACCCCCAACAGGGAATAAAAATCAGTGAAGCTTACATTCCAACCTAGGAAACTAGTAAAAGCTGACCAATGATCTTAAAAATGTTGAAACTGTTCTGTATAAATGCTCGTGACATGTGAAAACCAGTAATTACAACAGAAGAGTGAAGGGAGCTAGATTTATA